TCCAAATCTGTGTTAAGTGACAAAACATGTAATTCTGAAATACTATCCCAAGATACAAATATATGGCTTTTACCCCCCAAGGAAGCTCAATCAAGGAGTCCATCTCGCAACAAAAATGTTTGATTTTCCATCGATAAGCTGCATGGTCGTTAATAAGAAAAGGAGACACTGGTCGTTCACGTTTTATGGGAGTAGGGTTTCAACGCTTTTAGCTAGCCCGTCACTGATACAGTTTAAGTTTTCATTCCGTAGATCAACTGAACATGAGTGGCTATTCTCGGTACGGTGTAGTTAGTAATCGGCTCCAATAGAAGGGCGTGATCTCGAGAGCACTTTAACGACCTCTACCATTCAGTTTTAGAATAGTCCCCCTCAACACCTGGAAATCTTATCCTAAGCCGTTTTTTTTCGGCAGACGTCTAACTCCGTTTTCAGCTAATGGGGTATTTAGTTTGTTAAAAAGGTCACGATTCTGGCATTCTTGTGTGAAAGCAGTTGAGTATCAGACCCAGTCAATCGCTGGATTTTCTGGAGTGTATAGAATTTGGAATTTCGAATATCTCTTAAGCACTGGCGGCCAACGGAACGATGTTTTTTTTTTGTTTCGAGTTGAATGACTCATAATTGAAAACGCCCTCAGTGTTACGAATCGTCCAATGATATCGTATAGCTAATGATTTATTGGTACTCCATGCTTTTCTAATTTGGAAAAAAATACTAGATAATAATAGATATGCATTACGGTGCCCTCTTCTTGTTTGCGTCCTGTAAATAGAAACTGGTGTGTTTACTCGTTTTACACAACATCTAGTCGACACAAGTTCATACTCGCTCGCAAATCAACAAACGTCCCCCACCCATTCTGCATTCAGCACGGTTTCAAATCGATATCCATTCATACGACAAAAAATCTACCAATCAGTTGATTGCAGAAACGATATGTTTTTCTGTAACCGGTGAATAATTTTGAATCTATTTTGGTCCCGACATCTCATAAAATAAAATAATTTACTCTCAGCGCAACAAAAGCATTCCTTTCCTCATTATAAATATTTATAAATGTTATGAACTGAAATTGAAACAAGACTGGAAGACCGAATAACATTTTCAAATGACGTGGTTACACACGACGTCCATTGATTGGCTTAACTGCTGTCGAATTTCATAAAAATGTATAAAAAATAAGAGAATGTTTTTGTTGTACAGTACAGTACAGTACAATGAAATCGAGCACAAAATTCAATATAAATACACTGGTAAGTTGTATACTTGGTTCGACAAATCAAGTGCGAGATCACCGTACGTACCAGTCAGTGGTCACGTGGCTTGCTTCTAGTGCAAAGTTGCTTGTTTTTGACTACATGGGACAATAAACTCGTGATTGTACAACATCGATACTGAAGTGGTTACGTTTCTTCCCGTCGTCGAGTGCAAACACAGACTCGAACTGGTGATGACTGACATGAGGCCAATGAACAACACTCGACACCGGCAAACCGTCGTAACTCAATACTCGCCAGACGAACAACAAAAGAAAGCGATGTTTTCATTTTCGCTGTTGGTTTTCACTTTTTTTTTGTTTACATCGCAATTGTTATCGTGTCCCCTCCAGGAAAGTTTTGAGAGCACTATAAAGTTCCTTTCGTGTCACGATACTGCACTAGATGTCTGAATATAGTGATTTTGACATCAACTGTTTTTTCCCAGGACGAAATTTTGCAGTTTTTTGGGAAATATTTTTAACCGGAATTCACATGTGACTATTACTCATTGTACTTATATTTAACATATTTTAAAATCCGTTTCTTCACCAGACTTTACCATTTGTTGAATGTTTATTTATTGTAAAAAAAAAAAGAAAGAATGGCAACGAAGACAACAACACGGCAGACGGACTCTAAACAGACGTCAGTTTACTGGAAATGAACGAGGCGTGGGAGTAGGCGATCAATCACGTAATAATACGAGGAATTCTTAGTGCCATAACAAGCATAATTTGTGTGTCACCTGAGTGTTATGTAACACGGAGCAGATAAAAACCCATACCACCACAGTGTTACGTCATATACTGCCGAACATTTTTTACGCGCTGCCTGGAGCCGAGGTTCTCCTGAAATTTCGGGGTTATATACGACGGTCCGATAGCTAAGGATTGTGAGGTAGCAACGGTTCATTTTGACAAGTTCACGTGTGTATTTTCGGAATTTATATTCAGTCCCTCCAAAAAAACCGACTGAGATAAAAAATCCTGACAAATTGGAGCAAATGATAAGGCGGTGTCAACAAAATTAGCATACGAGGCGCGTGCGATGATTATTTGCGTACGGTGTTTAGCGCCAGAGTAGCATACATTTTGCGACTGCGGCTCGGATTGATACATACATGTAACTCTGACGGTAATTACTCGTGTCCTCTGCTGACGTCAACCTAAGATAAATTATAGCGGGATTATGCATAACATTTCAGATTTAACAGATTTAAACTAACGTGATCAGGTAGAACTAACGTATTTTTAACTTTTCGAGTAGCAATATTTTTGAAGTAACTGACAACGAATTTTTCAATTGAAATTAAACTCGAAAGTAGGTATGTAATAAATATTTTTATAAACAAAATCAAATAAATTCTTATGCTTCGATACACGGATACGTGAGCGACAACTGGCTAATGATTCCTTTAATTTTCCGTTGAAAATCGCGGGAATAATATGGGTAAATCGCTAAACTTTTCGAAATTGCGAGAAAAGGATGGCACTATCGCGAAAAAAGCAAATCAACAAGTGGTTGTGATGCGCCATTACCCACGTGGTTATCTCGCGATCTCGGCACACAGGTCACGTGACTCGGAGTCGTTGTTTTATTTATCCAGGACCCAGTCTCTTGTGAACCGGTCTGGCCAGATATCGGAAGGGATAACTTTATAGACAGCTGCACGGAGTAGTTAACAAACTGTTAAAGCTTACCATATGTGCGCAAATGACATTCGACTCTAATCCAATTATTTCGATGTTTACAAATAATATTCGCTTTGGTGGAAATAGAGAAACGGCGTCAAGCTCTATTCAGAAAACGCATGCACGGTTCGTGTGTTTTAACACAGATCCTAGTGGCCTGTATTTGTCAGCCCATGGAGCTCTAAGGTCAACTGAACGGTACAAAATATCCGACAATGACTGGAACAGAACGGCTTGTCCGGCGTTCAGGAGCTATCTTCACGTTATTTTGTTTTTTATTCAACGTAAGCTTATTGTTATCGGCCATTCTCTAAGTTTTATTGATTTTCTTTCATTGATGCAGTATTAACGCTTTTTACACGAATTCTTGTGCAGGTGGTGTAAGTTCAGTGTGGTTTTCTTAGAGTATATACAATGTACGTCATAACTTCGAAACCAATTTGAAATCGGAAAGACCGTGTGTCAATATACACATACATGGAAAGAAGGATAAACACAGGGTTATTTTAGACAGTCGAACAAAAGATGACCCGATACCCCTGCTAGGCCCTATGTACATTGTAAGACGGGCAAGCGTTCTTTTAGAATAATGCTGTATATAGTGGTATTAACATATTTTGAGCCAACTCCGGCAATACGGACACCAGCAAGCTTCGCGAATGATCATTTCCCCCGCATTGAATAAATTGACAAAACAACAACAAAAATCAACTCATGTTTGTCAATCCGAATGTTTTCGGCAACACCTTGTGTCATCCGATCATGTTCGACAACATCGTGGGCCATCTAAAGAGTGTTCGGCGGGCAACATCGTTGGCCACTCGAAGCGTGTTCGTTTTTTTTCTTTTAAATATATTTCTTTATATGACGAAGACGATTATTATTATAATTTTAGCAAGTCTACAATGATATCACACCCTTTTTTTTATATTTAATTATTAAAGTGACATATAATAGAGCAACACACTATTTCCCCAACACGGCAAATCTTTAGGTGTTCTACACCCCCCCCCCCACGTTGCTTCGTGAAGGACACTAGCAATATGTCACCGTATAAATTTCGCAGTCGATTTACCGGCTGATATATTCTGATTAAATTCAAATACTCATTTTGGATTATAAATGACACATCAAAAAACAAGCCTACCCGAGCTGACGTGCGTTATTCTGTACCAATCGGGCTGTTTGATATTCGCGTTTTGATTTTACCGCCGAGTATCCGGCCCATGTCAGTAAGCTTGGTCACGTGGTGCTGAGTTAAGATGCGTCACATTTTCGTTACGTCACATACTTAACGTGCACAGTATTTGAAGCGCATTATTCGGTCAAGATATTCTTTTTAGTACCATTATTCGAAACATGATGCCAAGCGATCATTATAATCAGTCCTCAAAGAAGTGTATGTTTAAATAGTAGGGTACCTTTTGATATTGGGGGGGGGGGGTTGAAAATGTTTTATTTATGACTTTTGCCCAATTTGCATTATCCTGTGGCCGTGCATATTTTTCCTTCATTCACTCATAACATTTTAAACCCCCCTCCCCCCACTTGATGTAGAGGAATTCCTAATACTAGTAATGCTCTTTACAAACGTAGTAAGGGAGACGCTTTACTTCCGGTGTCACAATTGGAAAAAAAAGTATTTCATTTGTTTTGTTTTTTCTGGCCAGTGGTTTTTTCAAGTTGCCGGTGTTTTGTTTTGTTGCTAAAATCGGCATTTAATCACAAGCCTAACAAAAAGCCGAGTGGTCTGACGACCAGAATCGGGCATGCGGAAAGTATGCAACCAAGCTACGTGCACCCACGGCACCCATTTGATGTAAAGCGCCACCTATCTACCATACGCTGAAATGTTTGTCTCATTAACTATTCATCGCCCCCGCCCCGTCATCAATATTCACGAAGCATTCAAATACGGGGTCAAACTGGAAAGAATACCCGGATGAACGCGCAGTAATTTCGCAAACCAGGTGAATAGCGACGCGGTTTTTGACGTTTTGAATATGTATTGGAATCGGGGGTCTCGCTTTGATAATAGACATGTAAACAGAGTGGCGTTCCGGGTTGACAGTTCGTGTAGCAAAATCATCGTATCGAATGACAAGCGTAGAAGTTGTAGGCGATCTACGCAGGCAATTGTTCGAGGTAGTTTGTGCAAAAGCTCTGCTCGGAGTATGTCACGGGCTCGGAAATCACAAACCTAACGTGCAACAAGTTGTCAGTTCAACATCACCGCGAAATGACGCTCAAATGTAACATTGGAAGGAAACTGATCGTCGTACTATTGATGTTTTTGCATGGTAAGTATCTTGTCGATCCGTTATTTACCAACGGGGTTGCGTTGAACTGAACTTGTTTTGTTATATCCAATACACCCAATATCAACTTCAAACGGCCTGAATGACAAAACAGACTATTTTGGGAATACGTTTTAATGAAGAAGCTATCAACACTCGCTAAAAGCTAGAAATTCGAAACATTCGCTCTAAAAAATTATTCGACTTTTTCGAAGCCGAAAAGTTCCCTATTAACACACCTAACCATTGTGTAGCTGGTGTTTAACACACACGGGTTACGCAGTTCGAATAACAACTCAATAACGTCATTTAATAACCGAGGTGGTTTCGCATTGCATCTTTCACCGCTACAGTCATGATTGATGTTTCGATTTCACACTATGAAAACAACATCAAGCTAACGTGAAAAGAGATCACTTTAAAGGCAACACTCGAAGTTTTTCTCCCAAAACGCTAGATGTCGCCCACTTTCAAGTTAAACGTTAGGTTACAGAGATTTGTTTTTTCAGCACTCCCCGTCGTGCGTGATGTGACCTCAAATCACCTTGTCGCAACCTTTGACCCCTAGACGTCAAGATGCAGGTGATTTCTGAATTAAGTCGAGACGTGGTCTATTATTGCACAGTCAGTGAATTTGCGGACGTGCGGTGACACAACGAATAAATGCGATGACGCAACATTTTCTCCCGCAGCCAATGAGCTTAGATGATGAAAGGATTCAAGTTGTGTACGCTGTGCGACGACCGTGGCGTACCAATATTCATTCCAGTGGAAGAGCTATTCGACGTCACGCAAATATTAAAAAAAAATATCACAGTGTAAAATTACAATAACAAATTTCGACCGACGTGTATAACAACAATGGCGTTGTTGTCTACGCAGTTTGTCCAGTATAACTCCCAATTCTTCAAATACCCACACACACACATAATAACGTAAACAGGCACGTTTCTTTGCAAGTTTCTTTATCTCGGGTTTCTGTTATTATAGTTGCGTGGCAAATAACATAGACATACATCCGCTAAATATTTCATTTTAAACTCTCGTGAAAAAATGCCAGAATCAGTCTGTTTTCACAGGTGTCGTGGTGAAATAAAATAAAGCTGTCACCGTGGCAACAGCAGGGTGTGATACTCCGAGCTCGTTTGCTTGAATTAACGCACCACAGATACACAGAAAAGCACGCAAAACTTAACGCGTATAAATTCGTACAACTAGTCTTAATATGCCGTTGCGTGGGTCCAGTTTGCAAACAACTTGACTCTCCATATAGGCGGAAAGGTTTCCTTGAAAACGAGCAAACACGACATGCAAAATAGATAAACTTCTCACGGGCAAATTTCTAATATCCCTTTGAGCATGTGCAGTAGCAAACAACAAGAAACATATTGTAACTTTTAGACTTGCTAAAGAAACACTTCGCCTATATTAGACAATAATTGTGAACCAAGCTCTATGCGATGTATAATGTAACTGACAGACCGAACAAAGAAGTAAATAAAGAACGCACACACATACGATCAGACAGGCTTGATGTACGTAGTCGAATACGCGTGACCTTAGTGACCGACCATGGTTCTGTTATTAGGCGGATTAGACATCGTCTTTGTCCCGTGCTCCATTGCACATTTGGCCACAAATGACCGTTATTGTCGGGCCCACCCCAAATGGTAAATTAAACAAACCATATCGACGTCTTCGAGTACAGACAGGCTACAGGACCGTTTTTTTCAGACTCATAGCCGTTGATTTAAATACGCGTTTTTTGTATTAGAGGCGAGACGGGGAGGGGGAGGGAGGGTTAAAGCGGGGGTGTCGTCACCTACGCATGCGTTAGGTGTCCGTAGCGTGTCATTTTTACAAACATGCGTCTACCCATGAGCCTTTGCGTTTTTAGCGCGTGTTGTTATCGTCGTTTGGACTCAATTCCCGCGCGTGCGCAGGTGACGACCCTCCCGCTTTAAATTATTGCACTGTAATTCATTTGTATAATTAAAGGCACATCATTTTATTTAGGTAGATTTTTGGAGTTTCAGTTTAATTTTTACTATAAGCATACATTCGAACCGACTTCGGCACGTACGTTGGTATATCCATCCGCCTGAGTGCGTTGGTCCAGCATATAGACGGTAGTATGTAAACACATGTTATGATGAAATCGAATATATTTCAAGTGAATCCGGTTAAAGGGCGGTAGTCGTCGCGCCGCGTCCTGTTCGATATGGGACTCATAGCGACGTATACAACGCGTGGAAAATACATTGTTTATTTACATGAAATTCGAACACGCGCTGCGCGACGACTGCCGCGCTTTAATTCCAAGGTCGGTCATGGCAATGAACCATTTCAATATATCACTGTCTGCATATATTATATCAAAGTCATTTTTGACCACCAATTTACTATGTGTTTTTTTTTCTCAAACAAAAACAACCTTTCAAACTCAATTCATCTTTTTTCACAGCTTCACTGTCGTTATCCGAGGTAACAGTTTTCACAAACTCAGTTCTAACGACCGAAGATGGAAACGACGAACAACTTCTTTTCTGTGGTTACGAAATCTCACCGCTAATAGAGGGCGCAGTTATATCAGTTGATTGGAAGAACGGAGTGCATCTTCTTGCTCGAAAGACAGTCGGCGGTCCGTCGGCCGGGCATATGACGACCAACTATCGCAAGTACGTGGATAGTCTATGTAGCGAAGGACTGTGCCTTTTAATGTCGTTTATTGGGAGTGACGACGGTGATACTTACGATGATATTATAATGAGGTTGAACGAAATGAAGATGAAACAGTGGCACTCAATGTTTTTTTCTTGGCGGCGGCGGGGGGGGGGGGGTCGTTAAGACATCAATATACCAATATTATTTGGAGCATCCGTATTACATTAGTAATGCGTGTAATCACAAAGTACTAGTAATTGTACGGGAAGAGCGGGCAACGAGCCTGAATGTGGCGGTCCATCATCATGATAAATCATCTTCTGTGGTATCATGACCATTACGAAATATTTTTTCAGGGGCGATGTTCTGCAATTTCTGTAACCTGTACCGCAGTATTTTATAGCTGTATTAATACGAATTGTTTTTATTTATTTCATTCTAGGTATAATATCGTTAATGACGCTACACTGCAGATTATCAACATCCGACCGACTGATACCGGTACATACACGTGCCTCGTGGTTGTATCCACGCCGGCTGGGGCTTCGTTCACCGACACGGCTACCACACAACTCACGGTGGTCGACGATATCACGGACAGTGGTAACGCTAACCCAAATGGGGAGAACACCAATTCGACGAGGTCAGTCGCGGATGCCGGCGGTACAGCCGCTCATGTGCGAGTACGAACTATGAGCAAGATTTTTATCCTCGGGTGTTTGTTGTTACGGAGTATCATGTTTTGAACATGTGTAAATGCGAGACTAAGATATCACAAGCTCTCCTCCACTGAGAAGAGTTGTGCCACCAAGGCGGGGCCAGGGGATGGGCACATTGGGTCGACAGTTTATATTCGCAGTGACTTTATAAGTCTACCTAAGCTAGTGACAAATCGCAATACCAGCCATTTTAACTTAAAGGAGCTAGTTTGTCATTTAGAAGAGTGAAACATGTATGTGATTTATATTGTCGCGTGTCAGCTAGTGTTTTTAGGTGAGATTAGGTCTACTAGTATTTATTGCGAAATTAAGCGTACCTATTATTTGTGGATATATATAATTTGACGTTGGTGGCGCTATTACAACTAGGAGCCAACCGGTACATATATATATAAATATATTGCATGGCTTTTGAAGTTGTTTGCTAATAAATTACAATGTGTAATTGCTACATTTCTTTTTCAATGAGTAGTATTTAGTCTTTACATTTGCCGTTACATGTGAGATTCGGACGCGTTGTTGTTATACCGACTCGGGAGTATAAACAAGGTATCTCGGGAGAGGCCCCGCTACTACCCGCTACGATCCTGTGATTTCATGGGCGCCCGATGAGAACTTGCAAGCGAAAGTCAGCTGGCATTGAATACTAAACTAAATGGCACTACTGAAATATACACCATTGAGTCGGTCATTTTGAATCAGTCCGAACCCAAAAATGGTAAAAAACAAATCTCACAGCCACAGTGGCGTTAAGCCATCCGTCAATGAAATTCAACTCATGAGCCAATAAGCGACGGCCTTACAGATGCACGGTAATATTTCGGTTTCACCTGGGGGGATTGTTCCAGGATCTGTACCACCCGTATTTTTGTGGTAATAACTTCGACTTAAAAATGAAATAGAAACGAACTGTTCTGAATTAATTACCCAGGCAACCTCGAAGAGTGCAACAGCGCGTGTGATTTGGTTGCCTAGGAGAATGAAATCAACACGGTGCAATATTGTACAAATTGGATAGTTGTCTGACTCTTTTAGCTTGCTAGGGGTGTACCATTATTTATGGGGTGTGATGCGGCAGAGTGTGAGGGGCAGAATTTGAATCCCTTTATTTTGAAAACAACTTGCAAAAGTTGGCTTGCAGTTTCACTAATTTAGGTTGTGCCATACTGGACCTAGTTCATGACCGCTCCTATTAAGTTGAGCGCTGTTGTGCGATTTATTACTTTCTATAGTGGTAGTGTATTCATTTGCCGATTTTTTAAAACTCCAACACGGAATGTGAGAGACCAAAATACAAATAAAGGTGATTATGTATTGTACTTATTTGTGTTAGTGCATCTGTGAATACATCTCAATTTTTAATATTATGTACACTGTTGTGTAACAAAAGAAATCGGAATATTTGTACGAGCTCGGTTATACTAACTCTAATTATAATTGGAGTAACTAAGGTTAGCAAAAGAGTTGGAAAACAACGATGACAAATTGCATATCGTCTGTCTTGTCACCGGTGTTGCAGTTATAATAGTTTCATGAATAATTCATGTGGCATGATGATGTTCTATTATAAAGAATATAAATAATCTGTTTACTACTTGACATTAGTAGAAACAAAACAAGACAAGCGAATGGCAATCAAAATGCACAGAATACGTGTAAGAGTAAAACTCTACTTTCAAGTATTTTACACTGTCGTATACAGTGAGTATTTTAGAATGTATTGCACATTTTTTTCGGTGCGAACGAGACAGAACATTAGTGACGTACTCGGACAATGTTTCCACGTGACACTTAGCGCGCAAGTCGTTTGTGATATGAGCAATTATAGAAACACCATAGGCCAACAGAGGGCGCCTACGGACGTAACTGCATGAATTTCGGTCACGGTTGTCTGCTGCATTCAAAGTAATTGACATCGTGATTGGATCGTGACGAAATAGACACACCACCATTGAAAGATTGGAAACGCATAACTGTGCTTAAATCATAACATGGGACGGTCATGGACGTTAACACCGTGCGTAAAATTTGAATTTGTAAATGAAGCACTGCACTTATTTGGCTGGGGAATATTTTGTTTATTATTAAATTAATAACAACCCACTTTTAATGAATTTGACGACGTTATTGCAAAATGGCGATGTACACACGAAATGGTGACGTATTTACGGTAAACAAAAAACAACATAGTCTATTATCTGTATTCGGAACCGTGCGTCGTTTTTCAACATCGATTCTGTCGTTTCCCAAAGTCTCCGTTCTCAGTCAAACATACTCAATTCGTGATATGAAGTGACAGACTGCTAATATACACTGAAAATTTGAAGTCAACTTGTTACAAACTTATAATACATACATTACCAATATATATAAAGTTTTCAGCCATACACCAGGCAATGTTTTTACATTCACATTTTACATTTTTACACGTCGCGGAATTGGCACCATCTTGGGACTTGAT